TCTCGCAAACTGTCTGCGGCTGCTGTGGCTCCCACCCCACGCCGCAGCCCGTGGTCCCCGGCTCTCCTGGATGCCCCCAGCTCCTCACCCGGCGCATCTGCGGGGCTCGCCCGGCGCCCGGCCCCAGGGTACGGGGCCCCTTGCCGCTGGGGCTCGCAGTTCAACGTGCCCCCCAGTGCCCAGTTCGTGGCCCGGCCTGTGGGGATCTGCTCCATGATGAAACTGCCTGTTCAGGCGTCGGCGGAGGGACTGGACGCAGCTTTCGTCGGCGTCCCTCTGGACACGGGCACGTCCAACCGGCCGGGAGCCAGGTAAGGACTAGCCGCGGTGTCAAGGAAGCCGGTGCTTCTCTCCGGCCGGCCGGCAGGGCTCTCCTCCCGCGAGAAGAGTGTTGGATGTGCGGTGCTGGCACCGGGAACTGCCCAGCAGCTTTCCCTGGCCGTGCTCTCTCCCCAGGTTCGGTCCGCGCCAGATCCGGGCCGAGTCGGCGATGGTGAGGAGGTACAACGGCAGCACCGGGGCAGCGCCTTTTGACTCCCTGCAGGTGGCTGACATCGGGGACGTGAACGTGAACCTCTACAACCTGCCCGACAGCTGCCGCCTCATCCGAGAGTCCTACCAGAAGATAGTGGCCTCCGGCTGCGTGCCCCTCACCTTGGGTAAGGACCCCGCGTCTCCCTGCCCTGCCACCGCGTCCCTGCTCAGCCAAACTGCCTCTCCTCCTCCCCTCATTCAGTCTGAACACGGTAGAAGGTGAGCGATGCATCTGTCCCCTGCACGGGGGATTGTGCTCTGTCATGGGTAAATTTACGGGCACCAATGCTGCCTCCTGCGTTGTGTCAAAAATGAGGAGGATGGGTCAGCCAAGAGACTGTTTCAGTGCTCCCCAGCAAGCACGGCCTGAAGCTCAACTGTAAATACAATCAGCGATGTGCTGCTTGTGTCCTGTTGAGCAGGACCCAAAGCAAGAGCAGTTTGTGTCCCTCTGGAAAGCTTCAAGCTTGAGCGAGCGCCCGGCAGTGTGCTGCTTTGCACAAGGCGTGATTTGGGCGCGTGTTCAAGTTTCCAGCCGTCGCAGCTTGGCATCGCTAAATGAAGCGCGTGTATAGCGTAATGAGGGGCAAATCATCACTTACAGCGTCCCCAGAAGTGAATCAAGCACCTATTTATAAGCCTGGTCAAGGGTCCCGCTCTACGGGCTGCCCCTGCCAGCAGTTGTGCACCTCTGGTCCTCCCAAGGAGGGAAGAGGAGAGAGGAAGCGACCTGCACCCAGGAGCCTCAGGTTTTCCTTCGGGGGTGTATAAACAAGTGCAGGATAAATGCAAGGGGGGGGCAAAAATCACCTGGGAACAAACATAACGATCGCTGGGCACCTCTTGCAGTGTGTTACACCCTCTTCCCTGTCCTGTTGCAGGCGGAGATCACACCATAACGTACCCCATCCTGCAGGCCGTGGCAGAAAAGTAAGTTTCTGGCCTGGTGATGTACAGTAAGGACCTGGGAAGGAGCCTTGGGAAGGCTCCTGGTTTGCCGTCCACGGTGCAGGAAGGAGCATCGCGCATGGGATGGGGACTAACGTGGCCGTCCTGTCTCGACTAGGCACGGTCCCGTGGGACTGGTGCACGTGGATGCTCACACCGACACCGGAGACAGAGCCCTGGGGGAGAAGATCTACCACGGGACCCCGTTCCGGCGCTGCGTGGAGGAAGGGCTGCTGGACTGCAGCCGCGTGGTCCAGATCGGCATCCGAGGCTCCTCCTATGACCCCGATCCTTACAAGTACTGCCGGGACCAGGTAAGCTCAGCCGCAGGCATGCGCCGAGCGCTGCTTTCTTTCCCTGCCATTAATATTCCCATGTCATTAATATTCCCTTAGCTTCAGCAGGAAAAGAAATGTCTCTGCTGCATCTTGTCCCATGCCAGCAGCTTGGCCCGCAGGACAAGTGCTCCCGGCGCACCGAGCCGTTAGCTGAGTGGAGAATAAGAAAGCGGGGGTGAGCGGAGGGTGCTGCCCGCTGCAGCTTGGCCCTGGGATGAGGATTTATCCCGGCAGAAATCCCCGGCGGGGCAGGAGATTCTCCGCTTTGGCTGCCTTTCCCTGAGCGGGCGCCTGCGTGTCTGTGCGCCCGCAGGGTTTCCGTGTGGTCCCGGCTGAAGAGTGCTGGAGGAAGTCCCTGGTGCCGCTGATGGGGGAGGTGAGGAAGCAGATGGGGGACAAGCCGGTGTACATCAGTTTCGATATCGACGGACTAGACCCCGCGTACGCCCCGGGCACCGGGACGCCGGAGATAGCCGGGCTCACGCCTGCGCAGGTAAGGGGGGGGACGCAGCTTCGTTTCCCAGTGGGAAGGGGACTTTTTTGCTCCCATTAAAGGAGGTCGTGCCTCCAGTGCAGCAAAGCAAAGGGTTAGGGAGGTCAGGGAGCATTTCATAGTGGTAATGAGGAAAGGAACTGTTGAACTGCTGTGATTTGGTCTGTATAGGTTGGGTTTCCTTAGCTGCATGTGGGGAAAGCAGAGCCCCAACCGGTCCGCGAGGTCAGATGTGTTTCTTAATCCCAAATCTGTTTTTTTTCCTCAAGGCTTTGGAAATTATTCGTGGCTGCAAAGGACTGAACATAGTGGGGTGTGACCTTGTAGAAGTTGCACCGATGTACGATGTCTCTGGTGAGTCCAAAGACGGCTGAGAGGAAGACGTGTGCCTGGCAGAGGCGGCTGACCGCCGGGGGTGAAAGCGGTTGGGCATTCACGGCTTGGGTTTTTTCCCCCCCTTTTTGTCTTTTCGCAGGTAACACAGCCCTCCTGGGGGCAAACCTGCTGTTCGAGATGCTCTGCGTGCTTCCCGGAGTGTCTTTTCGCATAACACAGCCCTCCTGGGGGCAAACCTGCTGTTCGAGATGCTCTGCGTGCTTCCCGGAGTGAAGACAATGTGAGGGCAGCTCCTGCCTGCCCCGCTTCCGACCTCAGCCGAAGCTTTCCGTGTCCTGTTCCCTTCGACCGGTTGCAGCGAACGCGGGCTTTGCAGTAAGGAATAAATGCCATTTACCACTAGAAAAGGTAATTTCAAGCTGATAAACTTGGTAGCAAATGGGTTTGAACAGCCCGTTTCCTGGTGTCTGTAGCTTTTGAGTTTGCCTGGGAAAGGAAAAGATGAGGCTAATGGCGCTTCGCCTCTGCTTTCACAGCTGGAATTACTCACCGGGCTCACAGGGGCTCACGGCAAGACTGTCACTGGTAAGAGGTTTCTCCCATTAAGACGCAGCAGCAGGACAATGAACGTAGAGGAAGGGAGGGCAGCCGAAGGTGGCCCGGGGCTCGTTCTGAGAGTAGGGGGGTATGTGACTGAATTTCCTGCTGGGGGTAACCAGGCATCCCCTATGGCAGGAGAGGTTTAATCGCCCCTGGCATTTCTGAGCGGACGCGGAGGTATGGTCAGTTTGTACATGGAAACACAGAGCCACCTCATCACACATTAAAATAGTTTATTTTGGTTGCGAATCTGTAATCGTCTTAAAACAAAATGACATCAGTGCCTGTTCACGAATACAAAAAAAACCCCCAAAATAAAAAAGACAAGTTTGCCAAATAAGTTAATTCCCCGTCCCTCCCAGTATCAAAAGTGCAAAATATGTACCTAGTTTTCAGTCCTACTTCTCAGGCTGCGTTAGTGTACTAGTTCCTGGCAGGCTTTCGGTGAACGGCAGAGCGGAGGGCAGGCAGCCACGGACGGCTGCTGCCCACCGCGCTCGGTACAGGGAGGAGTTTTGGTACAACCTTTAGACCGGGGGCCTGTATCCCTTTGCTTCAGCTTCTGAGCGGCATGCGATTGCTCGGATTTCACTAGAATAGTGCATTAGGACTGAATTTCCTCAATCTTTGGATTACAAACCGCCATGTGCGTAACAATCGCAAGTGCGTTTCGCTGATGATGCGTTACGATACGGGTCGAGCGCCGCTGGCAGGTTAGAAAACTATCGGGGGGTGACGGCTCGCGGCTGCTGGGAGAGGGAGAACAGACCTCAGGCGTAAGCAGCCTCCGACCACGCTCTTCTACAAGAAAGCGAGCACCCAGCGCTCCGCGATGGACGCTAAAGCTAACTAAACGAGGGGGTTAGAACAGTTTGGCGTTTGCTTCAGCCCGCGAAAGAAGTTTTTCTGTAAAACAGCGACACAAGCCAAGTTAAGTCTGACCTGGTCAAAAGCAGCAAAGAGCAGAGTTACAGCTAAACAGGAGCTGTGCCCCCGTCCAGCCGCAGCCGGCAAGGGTGGACTGCTGCAAGCACTCCTTAAACAAAACTCAGTCTAAAAGGAGAGGTTACCAGTGCTAAAAAGAGAATTGAAAAAAGGATTCCAGCAGGTGTGCAGCACATGAACTGTATTTTGAAGGCCATAGGGCCTTATTTTCTTGCTTGGGGCAGGGCTGAATTCCCTTGCTGTAGCACAACTAGGCACTTCTTTTAATGCGTCAAGGGTTTTCTCCTGGTTTCTGAGTAGCTGAAGAGAGAGCAGAGACCCAGAGAGTACCCTTTTTTTCCTTTTGCAAACATTTAAAAAGTTATGCGGAGCCTTCCACTGGGCTACAACCTTATTCTAGCCACGTCCTGCACGGCAAGCTGCGGGAAAAACACAAGAGTGCTATGCCAATTGCTCCAGCCGAACGAAAATAAAGTCTAGCAGCGTCAGGCCAGCGCTTTGTTCCCCCTCCCGCTCTATTTCAGCAGTACGTGTGCGCCTCGGAGCTCTTATTGCTCCAGCGAACGAAAATAAAGTCTAGCAGCGTCAGGCCAGCGCTTTGTTCCCCCTCCCGCTCTATTTCAGCGGTACGTGCACGCCTCGGAGCTCTTTAGCAGGGAGAAGACCTCGCCTTCCTTCCTTCCCTCTACTCTAGTGCCTCATTCACGCAGCAGCACAAGCTCAGAGTCCGCTGAGCTAGAATTAAGTAACCTCACATAGGGTCAGTTGGTAGCATCGTAGCCTTTATTTGGAAGTACGTTATACACGGTGTTTGAGATACCTGTGGTGGTCGAAGCACGCCAATCCGCTCCCAGGGCGGGGAGGAATGCAGCAAGCCAAGGGTTTGTGAGCAACCAGGTCGTGTAGGCAGTAAAATGGCTTGAGCATTCCTGGATTTCGCATGGGATTGGCAGCTAGCTCAGAGATTGGCATAGTTATTCCTGCTAACTGGCTGCTCCGCTAAGATGGTAATTAAGGTGGCAACCGAGTGAGCTTTTAATTAACCCCACGTGCTCGACCACGTGCTCTACCGTCAAGTTCAGAGCCCTGTGGCAAAGGCCACCCTGCTCAGATCCCCGTGCTTTGGCAGTGCTGTAGCCTAACAGCGACTTGGTACCGTGGGGGCTTGGGTCCTGCGCAGAGCGGCGGGAGGAGGCGCAGCAAGTACCAGCCCGGGCGACGGTGTCTGCCCCGGAGCAGTGAAATGGAAGAACAAGCCCCACAGGATTTCAGTCCCGGCCGCGAAGAGAAACGCTGCTGCTTGGCTTTATCGCTTGAGGAGTGGAAAGCAGCCGCGAGTCTGCTGCTCGCCTTCCCTCCGCCTTACAAAGGGCCACCCGTTCCCCCCGTGGTGTTGAAAGCGGCTGTTGGAGCACTGCTAGAGCAAAGCATAAACCAAACCCTGCACTTCACGACTGTTCTAGCTTCACACAGACCTGTGAGTTCAAAAAGGCAAAAAACCCCCCAAAAAACAACGCAAACAAACAAAAAACCAAGGCAGCAGCCTGCATGTTGAGAAACAAAGGTTCGTGGCAAGAAGGAAACAGGTGAGAGGCCGAAACCAAGCGTCTTAAACCCACACCTAAACCAAAAGGAGTTTCACACCTAAGCGACGGTCTGATGATACAGCACTTCTGGGGTGACATTTCAAGAATACAATCCTCGAAGAATTAGGTTCCTTGATACAAAGAAAGGTTGGTTTGTACTACAGATGTAAGGGTGTTTGAAAGGAGCCCGGACCGACTCCCTAGCAGCTAGGTAGAGTTTCTTTTACACATCTACTGGCTCATAGCAGCTCACGCCTACAATCTGAGGACACAGTTAGTTATGGCTCTAGGATACATCGTCTAAAATCGACAGAAGCAGAAAGGCATCTGAAAAATCCATGTGACATTTAAATGGCTCAACACCTTTACAGTATTTACGGCCGTGCAAAACCCCTTCCCTCGCCGGTTATGGTTTAGCCGGTGAAGCTGCGCGTGGAACTATGACACGAGGAGCATGAAACATGCAGATCGCCTACTAGCCCGCACCACAGGCGAGTCCCAGCTACAGGTTTGCTACGAGGGAGATGCTCCCGACCATACTCTAGATCACTTACCACGGGGAAAGCCGATAAAGTACGACTGCCTGGTGGGAGGCCTTTCGGAAGGGCAGGGCCTGGGAGGGTCTGCAGGGTCTCGCCAGTGTTACACCATGCACCATGGGCTAAGCACACGGGGAAGGGGAGAGAGAACCACGACCCGACCTGCATCACCGGCCGCGTTGGGTCCGGACCGAGTCACCGTGGCAGAGAAGTCACGGGTTTTTCTTCAACCGAGGTAAAACGAGAGGTGGAACGGGGGCGACTCGGGAAGCAGATGCGGCAGGACAGAAGGGAAAAACGAACTTCTTGGCTTTTCGGCAGTACGGCATCCGAACGCACGAAGGAGTCGGTGGAGGGAATTTTGGTGCGCTTGGCTGCGCTCCCGGGCGCCAGACGCGGGGAGATATTTTCTAGTCGCCGGCCCTAGGAGAGTTCATCTAAAACCTAAGGTCCATTCGTCACGCTTGTTTGTGTGTTCCTGGAAAGAGCTGTCCCTTGTCATCTTCATAAAAAGTTTGTCCGTTAGAATCTCTTTAAAATCCCTCAGTCTAGTGCGGGCCACGAGGGGATATAGAACCTCTGTAAGGAACCCTCTAGGAGGCGTTCCATCCAAAAGGACAATTTGTGTAATTTGTTTTTAATGGATCTAGATCCCGGGCTGCAGGAGGATTTCCCTCTGGCTTCCGTGTGTAGCGAGGAATCGTAATCCTCGCATGATCCCAGGGTTCCCCCCTCATCCCCCGATCTGTGAGGCTTAAAGAGGCAGAAGTATTTCTTGTGGCCGTTCAGAGCCAGGACGTAGCCCGTGTAGTCGCGCTCGAGGAAATGCTTGTCGTACTGGTTTGGGATGGGGGCCGCATCCTGCGCGAACTCTAACAGGTACTCCAGCCATTCTCGGTGCTTGTCCAGGCTGAGGAAGGAGAAATGAAGAGAGCTGCTCCTGCGGGAAGAGCAGAGGAGAAGCAGGATTAGCACGTCTCCCGAGTCAGGCCGGATTCCTACCAGACAGGTAAGCGTTTGTAAACAAGGGCAGGCGCAGAGCTGTGTCACCACGGCTCCTTTTGTAAGCCAGTCCAGCACAGGTGACAGTTACCTAGCGTGCAGCACTGTCGTGCTCTCCATTTGCTGAAATGTGGGTACAGCCAGAGCAGCAGCAGCGCCAGACCTATCTGGCCACCTTCGCCGAGTGCGGCCAGGAAAGGCAGCTCGGTTTTCGGCGGCTCGTTGCCACTAACGAGCGCGGAGGCTGCTTCGCTCGCCAGAAGCGTTCCCTCCTGGCAATCGAGCCAACACCGCGCCTAACTTGTCATCAGAGCAGCATTACACAAGTTGTTAAAACAGTAAGAGAAACCCGGGAGAGGGCCCCAGCCTACCCTGTGAACATGTAGACTTCCAGGGCAAACTTCTGGAGGAGGATGGTTTTGGTCGAGTTGGACAGGATCAAGACCACGTTCATGTGACCCGGCCTCAGGCGTACCAAGTTGCTGTTATAGTTGATGTCCGTTAGCTCAGTCACCTCGACGAAGCCCTTTTTGGGAATCCTGCTGCAACAAAACAGTGACTGAGTGAAAGGGGAACGAAGGACCGGGAGTGACTGAGGACCGAGAAACCGTG